GCATTCGTCCGATATTGGATTTGAAAATGTTGACCATTTGTGGGTGAGGTACCAGGAGGGGACCAACAGATTCCAACTTCGAAATTAATCTAGGCTTGGTAATAGGTTGTGTAAAGTTTGGATCAAATCGGACATTCCGTTCCGTCTGATATTGGATTTATAAATATTGAAAACTTTGACAATTTGTGGGGTAGGTACCAGAAGAAGCGAATCCAATGGGTCCCATCTTCGGATTTTATCTAGACTTCGTAAAGAAAATATGAGTGAACCATCTTCGGACTTGATCTAGGCTTGGTAAACATAATAGGTTCTACACATTTGGTTCAAATCGGATAGTCCATTCGCATGATATTGTAACATTAATTTTTAGCACAATTTTGTTCATTTTGTGGGAGAGGTACCAGAAGGAATGAACCGATATTACCCATCATCGAACATGAACCAAGTTTGGTAGAAATGTTACTGTACTGTATTATGTGTAAAACCTTGATGAAATCGGTTACAACCTTCGAGAATTATCGTGCGCTCCAGCCGACCAGACATCGACTCCAAATTGTCGGAAACGGATCCGGTCCAAAGAAACATGGGGTGTAAAACAAATATTTCGATGAGGCACATTTTTGCCGTATAAAAGTGTATATACCCGCATTATCCATAAGGCTGAGTGTATAAAAATCGGTTAAATTCAATTTTATTCTAATCAAGAATATATGCCCTTTTTGGGCTTTCAGGTGTATTTTTTCGAGTTGCAAACCGAATGACAAATTTAATATACACTACACCTTTTGGTGGATATGTAAAAAGAGAAGATTAATCTTTAAATACCATGACAATGTTCGAGCACTCACAGATCGGTTCAAATCAGCGGCGTTCTGGCCGGCCACAGTTTTGAATTGATGGGTTGCACACCTTACAGTCCTGACATGGCATCCAATTTCATCATTTTATTCCCCCACATCAAGGAAACATTTCGTGTGAAGGTTTTTCGGCATCAGAAGGTTCAGCAGAAGCTTCCAAAAATCATGATTTGGAGGTGTCTCAATCAGAGTGGACTAAGGCATTCTATGACTAAGGCATGACTATGACATTCCATTCCCTTGAAAATTAAGTTTGAAATTACAAATTATTGGCCCTGTGGAGGTGGTACCAATAGCTATGGGCAATAGGTTTCATTCGGACTTGGGTTGGCCCCATCTTTGAACCTGATTTAGGTTAGGTAAAAATATTACGCTATATAAAGTATGGACATCATAATCGTCTTTCAAGCTTAAATCTAATTCAAAGATGCGGAAATATATGACTCTCCCACTAAGTGTTCAAAATTTCGAAAATGTTTAATTTCAATATCAAATCGCCACAGAGCTCCCAATTTTTAATATTGCTCACGTTGCTAAGACTCCCATGGTGTATTCTATTGAACATGGTTCACATTTTTTTAGCTCCCATATACCGGTACCATCAATATTCCGTATCCCAAGCAAAAATGATAAACACTGGATCCATTTTGCAAATTTTAGACACATTTCCAACCGAATTGGATCCAATTTAAAAATTTGGCTTAATATTAGGTGACCAAATTTTCTACTAAAAATAGACCCATGGTTACTTTTGAGAATATGCATAGAATCACTTCCTGAGTCGATTTATGCATGTCCATCTGTCCGTCCGTCCGTCCGTCTGTCCATGTTAAATTGTAAAAAAGATGAAATTTGGCAAAAGTCACTTATTTGGCCCAAGGACGAACCCTATTGAAATTGGGAAAAAGCGGTTCAGATTTATATATAGCTCCCATATATATTTTCGTCCGATTTACGATTTGCACGAAATTTGGCACAGCGTAATGAATTAGGTATAGAATGATGTGTGCTAAGTTTCGTGAAAATCGGTTCAGATTTAGATACAGCTCACGTATTTAGTTTCGTCCGATTTTATGTAGATGGTACACCAACGTCCCTATACATCTTTCGATTTGCATGAAATTTTGCACAGGCTACTGAATTAAGCCCAGAATTACGTGTGCCAAGTTTCGTGAAAATCGGTTCAGATTTAGATATAGCTCCCACATATAGATTATATTTTTAACAACGCGGCATACCGAATAGCCTGTATCAATTTTGCTATAAATCGTTTTCCATAAATTTTCCCCATGTTAGGCAGACGGCTCTAAATCTGCTCGAATGAAATTATAGTTAGGATAGGTTGGAGAAAGAGGGAACATAGACATGCAATTGTTAGGACATATATGTATAATATACCCAAAGTGGTGAAGGGTATCATATAGTCGGCCCAGTCCGGCCTTACTACTTTCCTTACAGTTTTTTTTTTATTTTTTTATATCATATATTTTTTTCAGCATCTTCAATTTTACCTGGAGCTGATTTTGTCATTAGAATACAAAATTTCACATTAATTCTGATATCCAATTTCTGGCCTCCAACCCAAAAAATAAAAATAAATAAAAAACCAACCTAATGGACTTATGAAGTTATTCTAAACACCTATACATACATCTATATCATAAATAAACCATAAATTCTTGTCGAGGTGGTTGATTTCATTTTAATTTAGCCTACAACGAAGAAAAAAATCACGCTTAAAAGCTTAAGGTATTATAAAATTTAACGCTAATGCCTCCACGTTATAAAATATTATAAATCCAACCCAGACGCCATGTAATATTTTCTAATAACACACATTTTCCATCCATCCTCCTCCTCCAACACACCCAACCAAACAAACACTAATGAAGAGCAAGAAAATGAAGACGACACAAAAATGCAAAACCAAACAAAAAAGGAGAAACGAAAAAAACGATGGTAATAAACTTACCTCGGTTAGAAAATCATCTGTAAATGAATGTACCAAATGTGTCTCTGTTGTGTGGTCGGGACTAACATCCGCACCCGTGATGCTGTTACAAGGATTATTGCCGTGGCCAAGGCTGTTGTTCGGCATATTACTACGGCGGATATTATGATTGCTGGGATTGTTGTTAGCATTTAGACGACTACGATTATCCGGTCGCGACAACAACGCTGCCGAGGACGAGGAGGACGATGATGATATGCTGGCAAAACGACCCTGTGTAATTGTTGACACATTTGCTTTTAATGTCTCCAGTACCGGCTTGAAAATATTCAAATGTTTAGCGCGTTGACGTGATGTGGCGGCATGACGATGTAGCCGTCGTTGCTGCCTCTGTTGGGCCTTCGAATAGAGTGAGTCATAGGAGGGTGGTTCCTTGGGCTCAGCTGGTGCGACAGACACGGCCAAGGTAGTTGTGGCTGTTGATGAGCCAATACCAGATGGGCTCAACACAGTCGCTTCAGCTAATGGTGATGAGCACAACGACGAAGAGGATATTGGTGGTGGGGGTGGTAGTGTTGGAGTAGCATTATTACTATTTGCAGAGTGCGACGTTGGCCACCATTTGTTTAGACCCGTTATGCGACCATAGGAAGTGAAAGAAAAACGATTTTTATGATTTTCTAACGATGCTGCAAATGAGGAACTCATATCGTTGGCTAATGTACTGTCATTAGTCGTGGACAGGACTGGAACAGGAGCAGGAGTGTAGCATGGAGTATGTGGTGCATCATTGACAGCTACCGCAATAACGGTGGAATTGGAACTGGCCAGTATATCATCGGCCGCTGCGGCCATGGTAGTTAAGTGGCCGTTACCGGCATCCAAAATAAGACTGGACAAAGGCACTAACGGTGTAGTTACAGATGCATCACATATATCTTCGGCTGTGGCCGCATAATAGGTACTTGTTGCTACGCCCGGCGGCAGTGTTACAACTTGATGTGTCGGTGTCGGTATGTAGGCCACAATGTTTGCTGTGGCCGGCAGCATCAACGGTGTTGCTGCGGGCGTGGGAGACGGTGGCGGTATTGTCGGTATGCTGGTATAATCATATTGACTTTTGGATTTTCTCAGCTGTTGGTGACGATTCAATAGCTCATCTTCATCATCCGAAGAGGTATCCGTAATGGAGGCACGCTCATATGGGGTCCACAACATGGAAGACAAGGCCTCTTCGACGTCAGGTGGTCGACGCTGTTGATGTTGGGTATGATGACCATAAGTTGTGGCTCGTTTTGTGGTCATATTGTGGTGGTATCGACGGACAGGTTGCTAGTGTTGGTATTGATGGCGATGACGATGGTGGTGATGGTGCGGCTTCTGTTCTTGTTGTTGACAACACTAGGGACTGTGGTGGTTGTGACAATTGTTGGACTTGATTGGATATTTGGACAGTGATGGATATTCGTCTTTGTGGTTTATCATCAAACTGAGACATTTCACTATTTTAAATATTGATTTCTTAGGAATTTCATTTGTCTTCGGTTGTTGGAGATTTCCTGACCAAATTGCGGCTGCCTTAGGATTTGATTACATTCTTTTTATGTTGATATGAATAAATATTTGACATTTTCAAAAATATACAAATATTCCGATCGATGATTTTCCCCTCGTTATGAAAATATTTGCCATCCGAAAATTGTTTTTTTGTAATTCAATATGTGTGACGTTTTGGGAAAAGGGTATTTGACATTTTTTTTAGATTTCCAGCTGCAAAGAGAATTCGATGACCTGTAAAGAAGAAGCCAGAAATTGAAAATTCATAAAAATCCTTGAATGAGTTATGCGTTCATATGAAAATTGTTATTGACATTTCTGTTGGTTTCGTTCATTTTGTTTGTTTTGGGATAAAAGTATTAAAACAAGAAGGGAGAACAAAAAAATAAGGGTAGGTAATATGAAGATGATATCCATGGGGGTTACTTAAAGGAGATTACAGACTCAAACTTGGGGTGATATACTAAACATACAGACATACATATGTTTTAAGTGACATTGATGGTCTTGTAAGACTACCAATATTACAAAAAAAATGTTTTTTGTTCTCTTATATATGTATATCGAATGACCAGTCATGCAGAATGATTTTTTTCCTATTTTATTAAAAATACAAGAATATAAATTGGAAAAATGTACGACTTTTTTCAAAGAAATATATATTTTAAACCCTTTTCTGTTATGGAGTTTTTGGGAAGTTATTTACAATTTAAAAAATATGTATTTGAATAGGACAACCTATGTGGAAAATTTGAATGAGAATTTTATTGGATAAGTTCTTTGGTTTAGCAATGTGTGTAATTGAAAACCTTCGATACGCATTGAAAGATATTTATTTGAGATGAAATATTTTTTGGCGGGCGGGGAAACACAAATGTTTATAATGGAAGCACATATGAATATAATGGAGTTCAGAAACTTCGCCATATTGGAGGGGGTACAAAGGACATTTTTCTCAAGGATTAAAGCAAGTTTTCTCAAGGATTAAAGCGTGGATTTTTTTGAAGAATATTTTTTCAAGGACCAAAACAGGTGTGGATTTTTTTAAAGAATATGTTTTCAAGGACCAAAACAGACGTGGATTTTTTAAAGAATATTTTTTCAAGGACCAAAACAGACGTGGATTTTTTAAAGAATATTTTTTCAAGGACCAAAACAAAGCATTTATTTTCCGATTTGGATGAAATTTGTCATAGGTCACTTATTTGGCCTAAGGACAAACCCTATTGAAGTTTGGAAAAATAGGTTCAGATTTAGATATAGCTCCCATATAATTTTTTTCCGATTTAATGTAAATTGTGCACCAAAGTCCCTATATATCTTTCGATTTGCACGATATTTGCCACAAGTCTGATGTGTGTTAAGTTTCGTGAAAATCGGTTCAGATTTAGATATAGCTCCCGTATATTGTTTCGTCTGATTGGAGGTAAATGGGGCACAATAGACCCTACATATCTTTCGAAATTTGGTATAGCCTACTAAATTAAGTCTAGAATGATGTGTGCCAAGTTTAGTGAAAATCGGTTCACATTAAGATATAGCTCCCGTATATAGTTTCGCCCGATTTTAGGTAAATGGTGCACCAAAGTCCCTGAAAATCATTCGATTTGCACGAATTTTGGCATAGCGTATTGAATTAAGTCTAGAATCATGTGTACACCTCCTATATATATTTTAAATAAATTGTACACTAAAGATTTATAGCTAGGCCGATTGACACAACGTACTGAAGTTAATATAAATTAATCTCTGGTAAGTTTGCTTAAAATCGGTTAAGATATAGATATCGTAGCTTCCATATAAAGATTTTCGACTTATTTATGTTAATTGTACACCAAATAATCAATGGGTGTCTGATTGAGATTAAATTTCAAACCGTGTAGCATACCGAATAGCATGTGTCAAGTTTTCTTTCAATCGATTTACAGAAACCGGTCCCACTGTGCGCAAACGATTCTAAACTTGCCCAAATGAAATGAAATTTGGCATTGGTTTCAGAAAGACATAAAAAGCTCATTCAAAGCTCGTTCAATTTCATATCAAAATTCTTTCAAAAAGGCGACGTCTTTTCGGAAACATATGTAGAACATACCCAAACTGGTGAAGGGTATCATATAGTCGGCCCAGTCCGACTTTACTACTTTCCTTACTGGTTTAAATAATATTTTTGCAACATTCAGTATAGAAATTTATTAAATAATATTTTTTGAAGGACAAAACTAGCGTGGATTTTTTAAATAATATTCTTTTAAGGACTAAAAAAGGCGTGGATTTCTTAAAGAAGATTTTCTCAAGGATCAAAAAATCGTGAATGTTTTAAAGAATATTCGTTTAAGGGCCAAAACAACGTGGATTTTTTAAAGGATATTGTTTTAAAGAATAAAACAGGAATATATATTTTTAAATTAAATATGTTTACAATTAGTTGCACCCCTTAAGTCTCCTTTTTTGGCTTAGAAATATAACCACAAACTATTTGCTAACTACCACTTATGACACATTTGGCAGTGTCTTTTACCACCACAGAACATTAGTCACACACAGACACACACACACACTAAACGAAAAAATCTAACTATTTATGGGCCAAAAGCTTTTAAGACCATTGACTTTTCACCACCAATGTTCTGCACACATTTTGGAACTGGATGGATGGATGTTTGTCCCCAAGTAAAATATTTTACCATAAGTATGAGAATGTGCAAAGTCTTTGCGGTTATATTAAGCCTACTTAAATGTTTTTGGCTTTGCAGCAAAATAAATAATGGCACATATGTAGTTCGGGTGACACAGTGTCCTGAGGAAGGTTTTCCAAAAGAATGTGGTAACTGAAAAAAAAATTTAGAGAAATACATTTTTAAAAATTTATTTATTTGTGGATTATTAAAGTCCTATTTTTTTGAAAAAAAAAATATTTGTTATGGATTTTTAAATCCTGGATTCTTTAAAAATATTTTTTTGCGGATTACTAAAGTCCTGTATTTTTTAAACAATACTTTTTATGGTTTTTTAAAGGCCTGGATTTTTACCAAATATTTTTTTTCGTGGATTATCAAAAGCGTGGATTTGGAAAAAATATATATTATTTCTCAGAGAAATATATAAACCACGTGTATGTCTTTTTCCAAATAAATAGAGCAACCCAACTAAATTCAATTTCCCCCTTAATGTATTCCAAATGTCTCTTGAAATTCACAAAAAATTCCCAACTATTTCTTTAAAATTCAACTATTTTCGAAATGCTTCTGTTGCCGACTTTTTTTCCATTTTGACCATTTAATTTTCCAAATAGAATTGTGTATGTGTGCATTTGTCTGTCATGAATAAAATATATATTTCTAGGCATATCCTATCAACATTTGCGTGCACGTACACCGAGAGAGAGAAAAAATCAAACATTACTGGTTTATATACACACAGACATACCTACTGAAATACTAGATAACGGGTGCAATGGCAGTTGTACCGGCATAATAATTTGGCACAGAAAAATAATATTAGAAAAAAAAACATTGAGACTTGAATTCAGCAACTAAAAATAGAACTGAAAACCTAGTAGCTACGCCAAGAAACAGACATCAACAATGAATACATCTTTTGCCACCGGAGGCCTAGCAAATCAACCAGTCTTCCCCATCCTTGGTCGTCGTTGGACAAAATTGTGTATGGCAAATTCGGTAGCAGAAGGCAGGCAGGCTGACAGTCAGGAAGGAAATTGATGTTGATTCACCAAACAAGAAAAAAATTAAAAAAAAAAAAAAATAAAAAAACTCCTCTATGCCAAAAACAAATAAAAATAACATGGAAAATTACTTTAAATATTGAATGTTGTGTTTCTGGCTTTATAAATTAAAAGAAATTTCTCAATGTTTTTACACAAAATTTAAAATAGGAAAATGTTTTTCTTTTGTTGGCCATGAGCATGAACAAAAAAAAGACAACAGAAAACAAAATAAAGAATTCCAGTTTCAAAGTTTATTTTGCCGGAAAAATCTAGAGTTCAATGTGAAAAGATGTTGCTTGCATGCATTTGAAATCCTTGAACTATAAAAGAAGGATTTGTATTGAAGTTTATAAACTCTTAAAGAATGAATATTGCAAGTAACACATTCGTATTTAAAGATCAATTTAATGTCCTTCAGGAGTGAATATGTACGCTATAGAATAAAAATTTTGTAATTTTTCACATAAAAGTCAGGGTCCATTTGACCCGCTACATATTGTCCCATCTTTATCAAAACATTCATGCTTATTCTATGGCCCGAACTCCTTCTCGAGATGTTTGGGCCATAATTGCGGCCTCTGGAGCGACCAGAAAATCAGACAAAAACAAAGTTTTTGGACCATTTCATCCCCTAAATATTAACCGATTTTTTCCAAATAAGCAATAGGGGACTTCATTGGCCAGAACCCATTCTATATGCAAAATTTCGCGCCGTTACAAACTTTTGGGGCTACACAAAGCTATAATACCCTGACAACATAGTTGTATAGGGTATAAACATGTTTCCAAATTATTAGATTGTGGATTAAAATAAACAATAATATATTTTTTATACCCTCCACCATAGTATGGAGGGTATATTAATTTTGTGTTTCCGTTTGTATCTCATCGAAAAAATCATTTCCGACCCTATATATTATTGATCAGCATAAAATTCTATGACGCCATGTCCGTCTGTCTGTTGTAATCACTCTAGCACTCTAAATCTTATAAACATCGGTCCACTTTTTCTGATAGCCCCCAT